ACCAACGTACATTGCTGTGCAAAATCAGACCGTGATAGTTATTTCCAACTTCGTTTGAGGCTCGGGGAGCAATAGAGTTGATCACACGAATGACCAGCGACATCACTTCGCCAAGCTGCCCGTCGCATATCTGAGCACAAAGAGCCTCCTGGTGCATAATGCAATGGAAACGTAGGATGGGTCTATTGTTATGTTCACAAGGAAGCGCCACAAATCCTTTTTCCCACCATACACACAAAATCACAAAATCTGAAGTTTCTGAAAGAGTCATACGCAATCATCAAAAGAGCTATATATGGCTCGCGAGCCATAGGTTGCCGAACCCGGGTCTAGACGGACCGGCGGCCAAGACAGGTGATAATGTGCACGCGGTTGAAGGTCTGAAGAGAAATTATCGAAAGCAAACGTATGCTCGCCGATTTATCTTTTGATATTTACAATGGGAATTTTTGCAAATTAAAAAAAAAGATGTTTCTGTTAAAAATGGAAAATGGCCGAAATAGTCGACTGTTTTCCGTACTTTTTGCTGGTGCGCTACTCAGGCCCTGGGAGCAGTCTACTGATTTAGAGATTTCGCGAAGCAACCAAAAGCGAGCCAAGATGTGCCAACTCACCATATGCAGTCACCGTTACATCAAACGAACTTGGATCCGGTGAAGGAGAGAATTGGAATTTAAGCATCAGACCATAGCCAACGTCTGAGGTTGAAAGCACTCGGTTGGCCAGACTCTCCGGATTTTTGCAGGTGGCCTCTGCCTTGGAGAAGAAAGCCAACAGTAAGGTCGGGAGGAATAGTCTCCAAACGTACAAAGAAAAGCAAAGGAGGTGAAAGAACAACCAGTACCTCAATCTATGGCATAAAACTTTTTGAATACAAATGTAAAACAATTACATCCTCGGCAGAAGTTTGGGAAATAGACCAACAACGAGGAGCCTGGAAAACAGGGTACGTGAACACATACCGGCTTGGTTAAGTAAGGGTGAAACTAGATCCATCCCGAGTTTTATTCTCGCACATCTTGTCGATACGAATCATCGAGCCTTTCGGGTTATCTACCGTACACCAGCT